ACGCTAGTTATATATTTCAGTAAAAACTAAAATAATTATCAATTAAATAAGAAGTAGTAGGATACATAATTACTTACGAAACTGAACATTGAATAATTCGAGTTGAAAAGTCAGTTTTTAAAATTTTTATTTTACTCAACAGATAGTAGAACATCTGTAGAATATGAAAAGTTGAAGACTTTTTTAATTAAAGAGTTTATTAAATGCGCGAGTTTAATTAGTTCGGTGTGAATATGTATTAAGATTGGACAACATTCAGTGGTCTATGTGTAAGTTTTTCACTTAATGTCATAGAAAACAGCCTTTCCACAAATAGTTTTCTTTGGCTTTGATCTAAAATCAGTCTCTGTAAATCGATGTCACTCACACTCACACTCTGTTGTTTCGGTGGGTGACCATATCTAACTCAGATGATTTTTATTGAAAACAACGCTGCTTTTTGTAGTTTATAATTAATTAAGAATAAATCCGATTGACTTGAACTCACATAGATAAAAGAACTCGAGAAAGTTTCTCCTCGGAACAAAGTTAGTTTAGCTCGTTTTAAATAATTGTTCTCGTGAAGACAGTGTAGTGTGACTAACGTTAGTTTCAATATAACAGAAAGATTCGATCAATAGTTGAAGGAGCTTGATTGGCTTTCATTAGCAATAATGGATTTTTGAAAGTGATTTTACACTATTCGACAGAAAGGAAGATTCAATAATCACAGCTCATAAATGTTTTTCACCAATTAAATGATGTGCAATAGAAGCAACATAGAAAGTTTTAAAGTTTAGTAATTTCTATTTTTTTAACTTTTATACTAAAGATCGTGTATCTATAAGAACATGTCAGCAAAGACGAGAGTTTAATAACACTAGAATAAATTTTTAATATACAACGTGATAACATTCTGACTCAATGTTGGAATGATGCTTTTATTTGAGAAAGTGAACATTCTGCGCATTATAAAATGGTTTTTTAGTCAATAATGAAAATCCACCATTGACTGGAATATGATAAATACTTCACGTCGCTAAAAACACAAGACGTGAAGTATAAAACAAAAATCAGTGTCCGCAGAATTTTATATTCTCTCTGTAGCGATTTATCATTATATATAAATTACATCGTCATTACGACCATCTGTTGTTCTATCATAATTGAATAAATGTACGATATGATACTCAACTTGCATGTTTTTGATGTCGATGGCAATATGGTTTTTTTTTGTCTTATTTCTAATATTCTCATACACATTTTTTAACATTCCTATACGTGTGTATATACACACACACACACACACATACACATACATATATATATAGAAATGTCCATCTTTCTTTGTTTCTGATTGTCTAAAAGTTCTCGCATTACAAATAAATTTTTCTTTGAATTTATATTTCTTTTTTTCATTTAGACGTATCCTTCGTACATTGAAGAAAAAGAAAAAGTAAATCCATTTTGTGAACTATCATAAATCTTTTAAATGCGACACAAATAGCCCATAAAATCTTGATGAATAAACACAAGCGGATATGGTAAGATCCGACAAATACACGTATGAGATCTACTTTCATCATTTATAATGTACAAAGATATTATAAACATTGACTATACATAAACCTAGATTTCTTTTTTTTTTTGTTTTTGTTGAAAAAGAAAAAGAGTCAGAAGAGTGTTGGGTCGTGAGTAAAAACAAACGACGTATGTAGCTATACGATAAACACAATAATTTGATTAAAACGAAAGGAAGTCATGTAGAAGAATGTGTACGTTTCTTTTTAACGATGAAAAATATTCTTAAATCACAAAAAAACATAAAAAGATGAATTATTATTTATGAAAAATTTAGTTGGTAAGAGATGGCATAAAGATAAGGTGTTTAACTCAGTGGCGTCTATCCCCACCGGAATATTTGAGACATTTTGTATCACCACGCAGGTTCGATCTCTCAGTATACCACCTGAAAAATGAATTTCTACAACAAAAAAGCCTACCACCTTAATTTTGTCTGAGACATTGCGCCTCAAACGTCCAACAGGATAGACGCTCCTGGTTTAACTGTCATCTTTGGCACCAATTACTTGGCTATGGTCGACATTTTTGTTTGAGTTGCTCAAAACGAATTTTAAATGATCAGTCAATTATCTTGATTAAATAGAAAATAAGACGCGAGGAGTCCTCATAGATCATACAACTTGTTAGATACATTTTGGAGAAGTCCACTTTAGATAAGAGAACATATTAGAAATAACAAAAAAATCATCTAAAAATTGGTTCTATTCAATGGTTTGACTAATCAAGCTTAAATAAAAATTACTAAACCGGAATTTTGATACTGCATCTAATTTATTTTGTCTAAAACTACTTAGACAATTACATTTTCAGTTGTTGATAGTCAATATCAACCAGTCTAACCATTAAAAATTGAACTATAAAATGATATTTTATTTAAAACTTAAACTTACCACATCCAATGTGTAAATTTCGTCTCATCCAAGGAAATATATTATGTTGTGGATGATGTTGAAATGCATCTTGTTTTTGATTATATAAGTTATGCATTGTTGTCGCAAATGGATTATGTATAGTCGAATTATTTGAAAATTGATTAATATTTTCTGTAATATGATGAGGATGAGAATTTGTTGTAAAATGAGATGAACCACCAATTGGATGATGTAAAAGGGTTTGATGTGGATGTGAAGCATAATCAAATATTGCTGAATTCTGATTAAATGATGAATAATATGGATCTTGTGATGAAGATGGCACATTGCGATAAAAATTAATGGCAGCTTGTGCTGCAACTGCTGCTGTTGAGCTTGTGGCAGCAATATTTGTTGTTGTTGAACCAGTATTATACAATGGTGGTGAATTTCCATCATATTGATGAACATTAAAATTTTGATACGAGGTTGTATCATTATTATTAGTATAAACAGATAATGAGGGTGTTGTTGTAACTCGAGGTGGATGAAAATCATTTGAAGGTAGAGAAGGAGAAGAATTACGCTGTGAAAGCTTTTGTTGCTGTGGATTTATATTATTTGTGTCTGACGATGTATTGCCTCCATTTGATGTATGTTGATGATGATGATGATTGCTATTATTATTATTATTATATACATTTACAACAGCAGTTGACGACGACAACGTATTTAAGAAATTAGAAGCGGTAGCCATTTGTCTGATAATTGAGCCACTATACAATAAAATCGTTTATAGTTAAAATAATCGGTCTAAATAGGTTGTGTGTGTATGTAATTGAGAATAAATTATACTATATAATTGAATTCACAAATAGCAGGACAAATGGATTCATATTCCTTTCCCTTTTTATGAGTTATTTCCCTTTATAAATGAATGAGCTTTAATGTTGTAATAAAGTTCAGATAATAGCCGTATGACGACAAAACGTATATACAAGTCTTTGTGTGTCTGTATATTTCAATGGCAAGACAATGACTCTATAACATGGATATTTCATTTTTTCTTATGATAATGATGATGATGATATGATATGCTTTTTTTCTTTTTCTTTCCATATATGTGTTGAATGTCGGTCTTAACGCTGATAGGATATAACATTATTATTTCTTTCTTTTTTCGTTTTTCTTTTAATGGCCCAATCGTAAAGCCATCAACGATGAAATATGTTTTCCGCTTTGAATATATATAAGAGAAAAAAAATATTCAAGACGGCTCTTTCTGATTCATCCATTTTATGCATTATAGATAGATTGTTTTGATTAACAGGTGTGATCAAATTTCCCAAAAATAAATTGTTTCGTTCTGAATCAACGGAGTTATACATAAACGTCTTTTTGAAGGTTTTTTGATTTTACTAGAATATCGATACACTTTTTTTTTGCATTAGTTTATTGGTTCGTTAAAAATAACACTAACTTGTCGTCGATGGATATAAAACAATACGTATGATGATTTTTCAGTAAAAGTATTATATTGTATGCTGGTTAGAGTACACATGTCAGCTAAAATATCTTAGTACATTTAGAATTTTTTTTCAGATAAATTAGTAAAAAAGATAAATAAATAATTTTGTCTCAATAATGTTATCGTTATATTTTACATTTCTATTTCATCAAGTAATTTTATTCGCATACGACATTTGTAAAAGTAGCAGAACATCTGACTGAAAAATATTCAGATCGAACAGCTCGACATTCACACAGTGGAGCCATGATGCAAACATTTCATCAGAAAATAGAAGTATTTATTTTTTGTATTTCCGACAATGGATGATAGACTTCGATCCATCGCTTCCTATGAAAAAGTTTGTTTGTTGCTCTCAGAATATTGGGAAAACTCATTTGCAAAAATAGCTCTGCCAATAGTCGAAAATCATTAGATTATAATTTTTTCATGATCCTCGGAATAGAAGGGCATGATCTTCTGTTATGGTTTCGTATATCAACTAGGTATGCAACAGTTACTGTTATTTGTAACTGTAAAAATATCAATAATCTCCTTCTATTTATGTCACCACATCAAAATTCTATGCGCAAGTCTTCTTGGATTTCACAGGAGATTTATAGAAACCTAAGATTTCTCCACAAAATCAACATTTTTAATAAAAATAAATGGTACGTTCGGAATTAGTGTATAAAACTGCAATCGAACTATGTATAAAATTATAAATTTAGAATGACATATATCTCAATCGAAATTTTTCGTTCTAGTCTCTTAAGGTATTTTTTTTTTGTGAAAAATTAATATTTTTTTTGAAAACGTCTATTTTTCGTTTAATCAAGTTTTCAGCTGGTTAGAGAATGATAATGATTCATAAAAACAAAAATTTATTCGCAAAAAAATTTTAATGTTCGTCTGCATCACAAACTAAAATTGCTCTTTGTAAATTATATTCTCTTTGACTATTACTATTGTTTGTTTTTTAACGATCACATCTAAGGTGTTTCTTGTTGGCGAAAAAAGGATGATTTAGAACAACTGTTTCTTCTTCGTAGCTCGACTAACATACATTTTAAGCGTTCATAGAGATTACAATATTCTATGTGATACATAACAGAAAACTATAATATACTATGAACGAATTCTGGGAAAAAACAACAACAACTGATATAACTCTGGTTTTTACTTTCATCTACAATTGTTATTATAACTCATTTCTCCCACATAATTATCCGTTTCTTTTTTCTGTTCAATACATTGTTTCATTGCTTGGATTAATTGATCAACGGGTACGGGCATTGTTAGTGAGTGCGCAAATGCTAACATTGGTAATTTTCTCAATGTTCTTCCACTTAATCCATTACTTTCTCTTGCCAAATATATCAATTTCTCTTTTAGTTGTTGACTCAATTTATCACTAATATCATTATCGTATATTTCTGGTATGTAAATGATCGGTTTAATTACATATTTTTCCATCATTTCAATAAAACATGCTTTAAATACATTGTAGATTCCTAGAATCGTTAATAATTATTCCATGTTATTACTTTTGTATAATTTATAATATTTTACCTCTTGTTGATGGTGGCCCAATATACTGTGAAATATCACTTCGATCGAGTACAGCTAAATCAATTGCTTCAATTAAATTTGATGTTGTTACAACTAGTACATTACTAAATTCTTTTAATCTATCTAAATGTGTTAATAATGTATTTACTACTCTTAACATATCTGATGGTTCATTTGACGCTAATGCTGCACTACGTGCTGCTGATAATGATTCAACTTCATCAATTAATACAATAACAAATGAATTTTTATCCATACATTGTAGTTGAACATCATCAAAAAATCTAGATACATTTCGACTACTTTCACTAAACCATTTTGAAAATAAATTTCCTGCATTCATTTCATAAAAATAAAATTTTTTAAATAATTCTTTCATTCTTATGCTAACTTTTTGTGCTAAACCTTTACATAATGATGTTTTCCCACAACCTAACTTATAATAATGATAGACATATATGTAAAAAAAGATTTTTTTCTCAGCAAAATAGTGCTAACTTATTTGTTTACCTGGTGGTCCATAAAGTAATATTGTTTGATTACAATGTATGATACGTCGATCAATTTTTGCTTTAGAAAAACGTACAACAGTAAAAACATATTGTATCAATTGACTTTTAATAGGTAAATCATATTCTAAACTTTCCCATAGACATTCAAATTCATCATGTGGTAATGACCATCGTCGACCAATATTAATATGTTCACCTTCAATTGTTATATTATGTTGGTGTGGTCGCTCATATTTTACTTTATATAAGACAATATTCATGTCTAATCCATCACGTAAATTAACTGGTTTATGATTATTTTCAAAATCACCCACATACACACGATTGACATAACGAGATAAAAATGGATCATCGAGTGTATGAAGTACTAATGAACGACTCAATATTCCTAGGGAAGACAACAAAAAAATAACAAACAAACGTAAACACATTAAAAATAATCGTTACGAATTGAACAAATAGTCATCATTAAGAAAAAGTTAATATTAGAATCTTCTGAATGATGTTTCTTTTTACCCTATCGCTATTTACCTTGTTGTTGAACAAATTCATAGGTTTTGTGAGCTAATTCATCTAACATTGTTTCTGGTAATAATTTACAATTAATATCGATAAAATAGCCTGTACTAAAGGCGGCTGCCAATACAGGTAAGGCATTGACTTTTTCATTCATTTCATTATCAACATTGATTTCAACATGATCAATATCATCATCATCGACAATTTCTGTGTAATTATTTTGATTTTTATTTGTTGTCAGTTTATGTGATCTTAATATTTTGTTTAAATGTATTGTTGATTGTGCTACACTACTACGTGTTTTACGATATGATTTTTGACGTTTTATTAGATGACAACGTTTTTTTATACTACCATCTTTATTTGACGATATTATTGCAGTCGAATTAGACATGATAACGAAAAATAATGAAATTCGTAAAAAAGTTTTGTTTAGTTTAATTGAAAATTAACATTATTGATTAAATATATAAAATAAGTGAAGAATTGTTTATGGAAGATGATAATTAGTTGAGAATAAATAGAATTTTATAAAATTAAGAGAAGAACACGCGCTCAGATTATCGTTTGTTTTTGTTCAAGAATAAAAGAATAGATCAAGAAGAAAATATATATGCATATGTTACGTTAGCAACCAAGTAGAATAAAACAAATGAATGTAGATGATTTTTAACAACAGAAACTGTTCCTATTCGAAATATGAACAGTTTCTATATGTCATTAGAGTACTCTAATTCGGACTTGTTATATTTGTATTGTTTATTCATAGAGTTTTCTTGAAATAAAAAAGTGGATGAACTTTTCTAATGCTACTGATGTTGATGTAGACGTAGATTAACCCGCTCAAGCAGATTCAAAATTAAAATTCAAAAAATTTATTTCTAGGTACACGTCTCAGTACGGGTTTGAATTTAGCTACACCTAATCGGGATCGTATTTCTTCTTTCAAGACCATGTTGACCACGAATGAAATAGATTCATTTAACAAAACAATATAAGGATGTTATATACTTTACTATTCAGTGATTGTAAGGAGCAAAAGTTGCTCGTTTAGTTCTAGTCAAAACCATTTAATTGTATTCAATCAAAAATAATCGTTCAGAACTCGATATTAAACTGAAAATAGAGTACAGCTTTTATGAAATTATGTTTGAATGTATGTTTTAACTTGTTCTTTAAATGTTTTATATGTAGTCGCATTTCGTTTCATAATATCTAAACATGTTCCTAATAATCGTTCAAATGCATGTCTTGACAATTGTGCTAATCTTGTTTTATCTATTGCTACAGCCGATGTTGTTCGCGGTTGATCAGCTATTAATGCCATTTCACCAAAATATTTTCCCGGTCCAAGATCTTTCATCGATTGTTTCATCCCATTTTGTTGTATTTCAATTCTTACATTTCCATTCTCAATAAAATACATACAATCAGCTTTATCACCTTGTTTAATAATAATTTCTCCAGCATTATAATAAATTAATTTGAGTGAATCGACTATATTCATTCGTTCAGTATCGTTTAGTTCATACAAAATGGGTACAGTTTTTAAAAATTCTATATAACGACAACGTCGTTGATGAGCCAAATTAACGATAACATTTCGATAATCAATTCGTTTTATTTTCCAAAGAAGACCATCATTTAGTGAACGAATAGTTGTTGACTGTTTTTGATTATATAATAATGCTAATTCACAAAAATGATCACCCATTTCATATTTAGCAACTTCTTTTACTTGCCAATTTCTTTTATCGATATCCAATGCTTCAAATTGACCTTCTTTTACAATAAATAAATAATCACTATCATCACCATAATTAATAATAATTTCACCTTGTTGAGTATGAATTTCTTCAAATAAATCTAATACTTTATCAACTTCTTCATCATTTAAATCTTGTAATATCACAATATTTTTCATATAATTTATTAATAACTGTCGATCATTTTGATTTTTTGTGTGTGTGGGTGTAAATGATTTAGCAGTCAATTCAGGATCAATTGATTCAGATCGTATCGATTGACGACGATTATGAGAAATCGAACGTGTGAGAGTGGAAGATGCAGAATGAAGATCAACAGGAAATGGTAACAATTGTTTATCATCAACGGGCGAATTATTTTCTTTTATTGACTGTTTTAGAATGTTTTTCTCAATGCTATTCGTAATCTGTGGAGCTAAACGATTGGCTATGATGTCAGAATGGAGAGTTGCCCCCTGTCCAGTAGACTTATGTTTTATTCTATTATGAAAATGAGTTATTGCAAAACGATTTATATCTTGTGGTTTTGTAGTTAATGCTTCATACGCAAAATCTTGAAGTATCATAGACAATTCATTAACAAATTCTTGTTCATTTGCTTCAATGTTCCATGGACGATTATTCATAATTAGTTATGACGAAAAATAAAAATAATTGAAATATCATTTTTAATCTTTGGATAAATTTTCTAAATAGTTGGCGCGAAGTTGTAAATGAGTGAGGTCGATAGAGCACAAAATTCTCTATATTTCTACTTAGAAAAAGTAACTGTTGAACCTCAGACAATGGGCTAAAAATCTCAAAAAAGGATACGGCAAAAGCACGCCGCAGTTCGAGAACTTAGCACTATTCAATATTTTGAATGGTGCTTAAACGAGAAAAATTCTATCAGAAATTCAAATAGCAGATTTTCTAGAGAATTGAATTTTCTATTGAATGAGACTAGAAACAAATTTTTAAGTCACTCGGAAGTGTTCCAAAAGTAAGAAAAGATTTATTATGCGCCGCCCGTTAGAGTCAAATACGACCTTAAATGAACACGCAATCAAGGAACCTTAAGAATTACTAAAATAATGTGCCTGATTAATTATCGAGTACTTGGGCTTTGTTACTTGTACCAAGTACTTTTTATAATAATAAAAATAAGAATAATCGATTTTAATCACTGTCCATCAAAGTTACAAGTCCATCAAAGGTTACAACCTGTAAAACGATGATCCCCCGCTTAGATCCAGGGGACAGTTTCTTAACAAACTGTGAGTGAAAAAACAGGTCACATTTAAGTGTGTTTCGCCAACGACAACTTAAGGGTACAACCCCCTCTTTTTTCTAAAAAGTTCGTATTTTGAGCTGAGCATGGCCTAATCTAGACGAAAGTATGGGCTTAAAAATCAGACCACTCCCAGTACTCCACGACCTTTTTTCAAAACTTACGCATTTTTGACGTTTTACCTTCAAAACTTAAAAGGCTCAATTTTTCAGTTTCATAAACTTTTCTCTGAGTTTCTGTACATGCAAAATTTTTCTTAGACATAGTCTGACAAAAGTGTTTTTTCCACATTGAGACGTTTTACAGAATTTTCCGATGAGTTTTCGCGGAGATATAAGCATCGCGGCAAATGCTCTGAAAAAACCTATGTACAGAATGCGTTTTTTTTCGAAAACTACCTTTTTGCTATCAGGCTTCATTGTGCCAGATTAAGACCCGTCTTAAATTTCATCCGATTCAGTTCAAAATTTTACCCTACGTACTTAAGACACTATTCCAGGGTTAGTATTTTAGAGTTTTATTTTAGACTTTTCTTTACCGACTTATAGGGTTTCTAAAATAGAAAAACTTGGTTTTTGAGACGTTTTTCAGTATTTTTCCTATAAATCGACCAGGAGAGGTCTCAAAAAAGATTCCCAAACATTATCCCTGCGGAATGACCTTGACATGCATCTGTGGTAAAAGTTTTGAACCTGGATCGAATGAAATTGAAGGGGGGGCTCGTAATGTGGCAGAACGAAAAACCGAGTTTTCTGGAAAACTTACAAAATTTACAAGAAAAGCCCTAAATTACTTTCTTCTTATTTCTGTCGCTTTGAGGTGACAATGGACATTTAGGGCTCTTCTTATAAATTCTCTAACTTTGCAAACAAAGGTCGTGTAGAACTGGGAGATGTCTCATTTTAATCAGAAATGTGCCGGCTACAATCATTCCTCATTAAGAAAGGGTTTGGTTGTCTTTTAGAGTTTCTGAAAAACTAGTTTTCCACAAAACCGATCTAAAGAGGGCTAGACGCCCAAACCACTATGATATTCGGATTCAGCACACTCGACTACCTATTGTCCACTAGATTTCGTGAAAAGAGCGATTGGACAGTTGGTGTGGTTTCCGTACGTGCATTAAAGCGATAAAATTTGTTCACTAATATGAAAGATACTAAGGTTGTGATCATGACTTTGGTAATAATCGGAAGAAGTTGAGTCGGAAAAAGGAAGTGAAGTGAAAATAGAAAAAAGCGTACATGTTGGGTTGTGCTGAAGGTGAGCTTCTGCGAAACTTTATTAATACAATTTGTCAAGAGTGTCGTCGTAAAGAAGCTTGTTGTGTAACATATACACGGCCTGGCTAGCAGAAAGTACACTGCTATGCGAGGATATGAAGTGACAAAAGCAAGGTTGGAACCAGTCTCATTTGAAAGAGCACACTTTAAACTGTAGGAAAATATGATTTTTTGTTGTCTCTACACACTTCTACGCACAGAGTATAGTCGCTCAACATCGGCAAGGTTGAAAAATAGCGTGGCACGTTTTATATCGTATGTTTTTAATTGTACAAGTGTTCTTGAATGGCCCGAACTAGCTGATGCAAAAGCGCGATTTGCGACCAAAATCGGAAAAAAGGAACGTTCTTTTCCATGGCAAATTTTGATGCGAAAGCTTTTGTTTAAAGATAAAATATAGAGCTTTTCAAACGCTACTAAATGGCTGTTTAGTTTTCTTTATGCCTTCAAGTGTCGACCAATAGAAAACCAAAAATTCTTTTTTAGGCGGGAAAATTGGCTATATTGGAGCTTCGCAGTATTATCTGTTAAAATTTTCTCATTTCAACTTTGAATAGAAGGTTTTTATACATTCTTGTCGAGAATTGAACGGGGGATCTGTTGAGACTAAGCTCACCTCTCTACGATGAAAGCTGACCGAGATAATTGCAGACTACAACAAAAGGTGACATTCTTTATGTTGCACCCGTTACTTTAAACAAATTAATAGTAGATTTGTTTGTTTTTATTTTATTAAAAAAATACATATACATTTGTACAGCAGTATATAAAGTTTATCTTTCAGGTTCATCGTCCTTCAAACTACTCGTTGTTCTATTCTCATTTGTGATTGTAAACGTCAATGTTGGTGGTTGTAAACGTGGATGACGATTTTTTGAATAACGTTTTGTACCCATCATTTTTGTTTCATAATGTAAAATAATATCTTGATCATAGGGACAAGATTCACGAAACGCTTGCGTCTCATAAACATTCTTCAAATATTGCCACAAATGTTTAAAATCTGTTGGAATGGAATAATTACGATAAATCTTTAAAAAAAACAAATAATTGTAAGTAATAAATTTTCTCTATATATATCAGACACTCTTAATTTAATATTGTCTATCTTACTTTCTAAAAACTCTTTGTAAAACAAAATATTTATCATTTTTGTTATTCTTACTCACTTGTCCAGCAATTCGTATATGTTGAAGTTTCGGTGATATATCACAATCAGCATATGTCATTTGATCACCACATAAAAATTTAGTATTTCTTCGTTGAAGAAGTAAATCTAATTTTTTTAATTCAACTGTTAATGAACGTTCTCTTGCCATAAGTAATTTTTGATCAGCTTTCAAATAGGCATGAAATTTCTAGAAATAGAAAATAAATAATCAACTTTTTAATATAAATAGTTATTTATAATATTTATGAAAAAATATATTTTTACAATATAAATATCAGCAACTGCATATTCTGCTTCTTTATCTGATTTTAAATTCACTTGTTGAAATCGTGCCGTTATTTCACATTCAATTTCTTTACTATCAGTTAACACTGTTTGTTGATCATCTAAAATAACTACTGGAGGATTTGAATGACATGATCGAAATTCTTGTTCAGGATTTTTCATGTTAACAGCGTAAACAGTTAATGCAAGTTCTTTGTCTGATGATTTTAAAAATAAAACCATAAACCATTTTTGACAAATTGGACATGGTGTTCGATGAGAAAAATCAATTTCAGAACGCTAGAAATAATCAATAAATGAATATTTTAACATAAATCTAATTTACTAGAAAACATACTTTAACAAATAATGCAACATGAGAAACGTTAGAGAGTGTTTCATCTGATCTCGATTCTAATATATTTTGGCTATCATAATAATCTAGTAGATCAGAATTTAAGGGTATACAATTGACACCAGACGATTCCGTCGTTGGACATTGCTGACGAAAAGACTGAAATCGAGCAATTGTGGAAGCCTAAAAGAGAATTTTTCAAAGTGCCAGAGAAATGGCTGGAATTAAAAAGAATGAAATCTGATATTAGCACATGTAAGATAGATAATTCAGAACGTTAAATTGAATAAAAGAATATGTCTTGATACAAAGACGAAATAGTTCAAAATTAAACTGATTTGAACTTGATAAAATGATACATGACATTGGTAATAACAGTACATATAGAACAATTTCAATAATTATTGTAAAATTATAGTTTTTAAAAACTTTTCTCTCTTTTCCTCTCCAAATCAAATCTGTTTAGTACAACAATTTCTTATTTTATTTCTGACTATCGATCAAGTGCTTCGGTAATTGTAACAGATTCATATAAGTGTGTACTTTAAGATATTGTTATACACCATTTGGCAGTTCACTTTGAATTATCCCATAGTCTCTAATCTAATACCGTCCTGTGCAAAATTACAGAAGCGATTTATTTTTGATTTTTTCTCTAAAAAAAGATTGAAATAGTTGAAAGAATGTCCAACCCGGTATGATGCATACAAAAACTCCATAAAAATTTCCAAAATCAGAGTTTGTGAAAAATCAAAATTCTAGAGAATCAACTCGTAGGAATCGATCAAAACCTTTTTGCAAATAACTCACTCGAGTAGAGCAGACATTTTCGACAAAATGAGATGTCTCTGAGTTCTCCATGACACTTTTTTATCGGCCTGCATGCAATTTATGAAAAGCCTAAACAAAATCAGTAGAAAAACAGTGACAAATATCTGTCAGTCGGTTTTTCACAAACTCTGATTTTAGACATTTTTATGGAGTTTTTGTATCCATCATACCTGGTTGGACATTCTTTCAGCTATTTCAATCTATTTTCAGATTTGTTTTAGTGATTATGGATGAAGAGAAAAAATCAAAAATAAATTGCTTCTATAATTTTCCACAGAACTGTATAATAATATTGGACAATCAAATTATTACTTACCATTGCACAGGTTCTTTTTACAATAAAACTATAATGATTCTTACAAGTGAAAAGTAAAAAATTTCTTGCCGCTTTCTTTCTCTAACACGAAAAAGTTGCGTATAAATTTGTTTGAACTATAGAATGACGATAAAAGATTTTTTTCTGTAATAATATTGAACGATTTACGAATGATATTTGTACAATGAAGTTAATGAATGTTCACGAACAAATGTCATCTATGTGTGTATATACACTAACTGTATAAACCTGACTTTACTAACTAATAGGACGACAAATGATGAGATAAAAAGTGAGTCTACAACTATGTGTAAAATACACACAGACTACGAATATATAACCGATGAAAGAGGATAAAATATAAACATTCTTGTTTTCTCGGTTAATTTTAATTGTAAAAATAGATAAGAGAAGAAATGCAGGTTGTTTAGTAGGAAGAACAAACAAAGAGAGGAATATCCGTGAATGAGAGAAAAAAACTAATGAAATCTAATTTTTGGCTATAAAAAAAATACAAGTTTACCTCGTTGTTTCGTTTTTGATATTGCAAAAATTCTATTGACAGTATCTGGATATGAGATGTTATTAGATGAATTTGTGATGAGTGCGAAAAAAATAAATGTCAAGAGAATCATTTTGAAACTGCTATTAACCAATTTTTGGTGTTTACAGTGTACTAATAAGAAAAAAGTTTATTCTATCACATCCGAAGATCTCACATATTTCAAAGAATTTTACCGATTCCGTTCTTCTGTAAACGATCTTAAGATATATTAAGTGAAATTAGCACATTTAAATTCTTTATTAAAACACATAGATAGATGAGCATTAAAAAAAATTAATAAAAGAAAACGTGTACAAAAATTTGAATTAAAGCGAAAGACAAAATAAAATACTTAAACGAATGCGATTACATTATGGATCTTTTGTTTATATGTGCTTGTATAAAATCCATTACTTTTTCGCCATATTCACTTGCATGAACACGAAAATGATTGACATGGCCACTATCTGACCATTTGAACCATGAAACTGAGATGCCACGATCTATTTGACTAGACAGGTATTTTTCTTAAAAAAAAGAAAACAAAACGGCAATAGAGAAATTTTGATCTATTTTCAATTTCTTCATGATTCAAAACTAAATCAAATATCTTCTTATTACCTATAGCATATGCCGATATTAGTTGATCACCGGAACTAAAGAGATAAAGTTGTGGAATTTTTGGAGTTTGATTAAGATATTTTTGTAACTTTTCGTTTATTATTAAATCGAATAAAATATATCGCCTAAAAAACAACTTAATAAATAGAAAAGTATATATGAGTGGAGTCCATAAAAAATGAAAATATTGTGGTCGTTGCAAAATAATACTTGTACATGCAAGAGTTGAGCCTCCAGTTGATGAGATCACTGGAAATTTTCTTTGTTGAGTAACATACGGCGCAGAATCAAAGATTACACCATTTAAATAGGGTAACAGCATTTTATAATTGTTATCATTTTGAATTCTATCTGACAGATAACTCCATACAAGTGCCCCATTATTTGAATGAGAATGAATAAAGATCTTTGTTGTTGTCGTTTTACTACCATTATTAATTACATATAATTTCATCATTTCTAATATTGACTCAATTTGTTCAAGACTAACATCAAAAATATAATTCCACATTGGACTAATGTAACAAATTGTTGACATACCATTATTAGAATAAAATTCTAATAATCGTCGTAATTGTCTTTTCGTACAACCACCCCATCCCAAAACTAATATCAATATATTATTTTCTTTTGATTTTGATGATGATGGTGATTCAAAAACAGCCGTATGATCAATTAAATTCGATCCTAAACGTCGACGAAAATAATAGTCCATAATTATTATATAGAAAAAAACTATAATAATGAAAAAAATCATAAATAATAAAATAATAAAAATATTCATTATAGTAGGGAAAAAGTATCTGAAAAGAGAGTTACAAAAACTTGGACAACATTTTGCTGCACATGAAATCAAGTTGAAGAATAATAATATACGACAGAACGAGTATTTTAATTTTAACATGTAAGATTAAAAGAGAGAGTCTTTTTTTCTTCTTCTTGTGCTGAATTATTTTAGAGATGTACTCGATAAGTAATCAAGCACGTTATTTTTGTAGTTCTTAAGGATCCTTCATTGCCTGTTCACTTAAGGTCGTATTTGAGTCTAACGGGTGGCGCATAATAAACGGTCCAAAATCTTTTCTTATTTCTAGAACACTTCCGAGTGACCCAAGAATCTGTTTTTAGTCTCATTCAATGGAGAATCCAATTCTCTACAAAATCTGCTATTTGAATCTCTGATAGAATTTTTCTCGTTTGAGTACCATTCAAAATATTGAATAGTGCTAAGTTCTCGAACTGCGACACACTGAACATAGAAAAATATTTGCCTTGATCCAAAAACAGACTCCATAAGATTTTTGAAAACACCAACATTCATCGGAAAATTCTGCATCTCATATATTTTTCGAAATTTTGCAGTGAAGTCTTTGAGGAAAACTCTCTTTGCAAAAAAGTGATAAACCTATAAAAACCTAACTTTGAACCTGTTTTTCACAGACTTTAGTTTTGGTCCTATGAAAGCAATAAAACGTTCTGAATCCTGCGTTTTAGCTTCGTTATCTTACACAGAATTAAATTTCGCATCCTTTAATATATAAACAAAGTTTCTCAATTGGAACCATTAATTAGAAACATCAATTTAATGTGAAAAATTTGAAAAGCCGGTTGAGAACTAGTTATGAGTCCAACTGGCGTAGCGGAAACATTGTATGAAGTTGTAAATGAGTGAGATCGAAAGAGCACAAAATTCTCTATATTTCTACCTAGAAAAAGTAACTATTGAACCTCAGACAATGGGCTAAAAATCTCAAAAAAGGATACGGCAAAAGCACGCCGCAGTTCGAGAACTTCGCACTATTCAATATTTTGAATGGTGCTTAAACGAGAAAAATTCTATCAGAAATTCAAATAGCAGATTTTCTAGAGAATTGAATTTTCTATTGAATGAGACTAGAAACAAATTTTTAAGTCACTCGGAAGTGTTCCAAAAGTAAGAAAAGATTTATTATACGCCACCCGTTAGAGTCAAATACGACCTTAAATGAACACGCAATCAAAGAACCTCAAGGATTACCAAAATAATGTGCCTGATTAATTGTCGAGTACTTGGGAAGCATCTGAACAAGAGCTTGTATACAAACGTCACAATATCAGTCAGTATAAACATAGCAATTTCCACTGATTTGAACAAACTTAGTACATATGCATGTGTCTGTGCTACAAAAGTAGCATATAGTGCAGAATACGTACAAAATACAAAATAAAGATAAATGGAACAATTAGCTGAAGTTTTTCAAGTAAATTTACTTGTACAGGTCAGCCAAAGTCATTGGACAAGCGCTTGACAAGTAACGCAAAGTAGTTAATAGTAAAACTTCTTGTGGAAAACCACCAGGGACTAGCTTTATTACTTGTACCAAATACTTTTTATAATAATAAAAATAAGAATAATTTATTTTAGTCACTGGTAGATGAAAGTCCATCAAAGGCTACAACCTGTAAAACGATGATCCCTGCTTAGATCCAGGGGGCAGTTTCTTAACAAACTGTAAGTGAAAAAACAAGTCACACTTAAGTGAAACCTTTTTACTTAAGCGTGTTTCTCCAACGACAAGGGTACAACCCCCTCTTTTTTCTAAAAATTTCGTATTTTGAGCTGAGCATAGCCTAATCTAGAGGAAAGTGTGGGCTTAAAAAAGACCACCCCCTCTATTCCACGACCTTTTTTCAAAAACTTAAACTTCAAAACTTAAAACAGCTCAATTTTTTAGTCTCATAAACTTTTCTCTCATTTTCTGTACATGCAACAATAGCTCTATTGTGTCACATTACGACTAGGATCAGTATTCAAAAGTTTGGTATGTCGAAACTCGGGTCCTGGGATAGATTTCTAAAAAACTCGGTTTTCTAGAAAACTTAATCACCTTAAAATTTTTTTCAGAAGTTGTTCAATCACATCATTGGATATTCCTTTCAATTCTCTACAAAACTAGATATTGGCCAAGCTTCTACGATGTTCTGTCAAAAACTGCCATACCAAATACGATACAGATCGAAAATTCAGTGTTAAAGCAAAATTTTCGATGAATTTATATTCGTATATTTACATTTATATATATAATGTTAAAAAGCTTGTAACTCGGTCGTGCAGGACCGTTGAAACTTGGTCGGCATCTAATTTTGTAGAGAATTGAAAGGGATATCCAATGATGTGATTGAAAAACTTCTTAAAGAAATTTTGAGGTCACTAAGTTTTCTAGAAAACTGGCTTTTTCAGACATCTATCCCAAGATCCGAGTTTCGAAATATCAAACTTTTGAATACTGATCCTAGTACATCTCGGTGTGCTCTTTCAAACTAGACTAACTTCAGAAAAATTCACTCCGCTGACTGGAAGAATTTTTAAATTTTCTTAGGGATTTTTAAGCAAAATCTATACCATGAGCAGTCCTCAAGAGACAAGAAATTTTAAACATAGCTATGAGACACAGCTCATTTTAAAGTATATACGTTAAAAAAATCTCGACTTTATCTCTCAAACTCGCTGAGAAAATTAAAATTTACTCTGACATCTACAGCAAAACTGAGCTCCCTAAACCGAGCAAAACCTATTTAGAAAGATGCTTATATCTCTTGAATGAAACAGCGACACTTAGGTACTTAAGACACTATTGCAGGGTTAGTATTTTGGAGTTTTATTTTAGACTTTTCTTTACCGACTTATAGGGTTTCTAAAATAGAAAAACTTGGTTTTTCAGACGTTTTTCAGTATTTTTCCTATAAATCGACCAGGAGAGGTCTCAAAAAAGATTCCCAAACATTATCCCTGCGGAATGACCTTGACATGCATCTGTGGTAAAAGTTTTGAACTGGATCGGATGAAACTGAAGGGGGAACTCGTAATGTGGCACAATGAAAAACCGAGTTTTCTGGAAAACTGGTGAACGGCAGTAGTTGAAAACTTGAAACAAAAGCGAAAATGTGCTCCATTGAGTTTCCAATCAGTTCTGAAAATACAAAGCCCAAGCGACTTTTAGTTTTTATTTCACAACATCTCTACGGAAAGCCCAAAAAGAGGAGAGGGGTACCCTTAAGTGCAACGTACGAGGATACCACCCCAACTGTCTGATCGCTTTTTTCACGAAACCTAGTGGACAATAGGTAGTCGAGTGTGCTGAATCCGAATATCATAGTGGTTTGGGCATCTAGGTCTCCATAGACCGGTTTTGTGGAAAACTAGTTTTTCAGAAACTCTAAAAGATAATCAAAACCTTTCTTAATGTGGTATAATTGTAGCCCAGACATTTCTGATTACAATGAGACATCTTCCCGCTCTACACGACCTTTGGATGCAAGGTTAGAAAATTTACAAGAAAAGCCCTAAATTACTTTCTTCTTATTTCTGTCGCTTTGAGGTGACAATGGACATTTAGGGCTCTTCTTATAAATTCTCTAACTTTGCAAACAAAGGTCGTGTAGAGCGGGGAGATGTCTCATTTTAATCAGAAATGTGCCGGCTACAATCATGCCTCATTAAGAAAGGGTTTGGTTGTCTTTTAGAGTTTCTGAAAAACTAGTTTTCCACAAAACCGATCTAAAGAGGGCTAGACGCCCAAACCACTATGATATTCGGATT